GGATCAACTGCACAATTTCTTGATGTTTCAGTGTTTAACAATCAAGGACAATTGAAAACAACTGTATTTCATAAACCAGCAGCAGCACCTTATATTCTACCATTTCAATCTGATCATCCACGTCATGTTCATCGTAATACAATTAAAGGTGCTCTTTATCGAGCAGTACGTCTTTGTTCACATGTCAAAGATTTCAATGAAGAACGACTACATATTGAGCTAACGTTATTATTGAATGGTTATCCACCAAAATTTATTTCATGTCATTTTAAACAATTCCTTCAACAAAACAATGTTATGTCATTGATGATAGAATTAAATGATGATATTTATCAACAACTTCATCATAAACTAATTCATTTACCAACACGACGAGAAAGAAAACAACAACAGCAACAGCAACAACAACAACAACAGCAGCAAAATAATTTAGAACAAAATGAACTAGAAATAAGAAACCGGAATAAGAAAGAGATTCGTGTTCATTTTAATTATTCCAGTGGTCCAATGTTAGATTTTCCACAAAAACTACGACAATTATGGAACAAATACTATGTGTATCCTGGTTCACTAATGAATAATGTGATATTGAACATTAGTCCACGAACCAACAAATCTCTTCAGCATTTATTCGTGAAGAAAAAACCACCAAAATCCATGCTCATCAATGTTAATCCTACAGATATTTAACATATAAGGTTAAACTATACTGTTTTCAATAGTTCTTTAGCTTCCACTTCATATAACATAGTATTGTAACCATTTTTTCCTTTTTTTGTATGTTTCTTATTCTATAATAACATTCATAAAGCTTTTTTAAAATAAGTATTATATTATCCAAGAAACTAACATTTTCTAATTTTTGTTTATCATTTATATTTCAGATCTATCATTCTTCCTTCGAGATTGCAATACTATAGCAGGTGGCCTCTCGATATTCGAAGACATCTCATAGAGAAAGATAGGACTTCTCGATTGGATCGATAGTGCCCAAAGAGGATTAATCCTAATGAAAATTCTATAGCGAATATATAGTCTTATCCTTAGCTGAAATTGCATAGTAGACTTTTGAATTTTCCTAACTTTTAGATTATTCTTTTACTATGCAATGTTTGGTAAGCATAAGAGTATATATATATGCTATGAATTCTAGTATAAGTTAATCATCTTTTGGATATTATCGATCCAATCGAGAAGTCCATATGTTCTCTATACCATAATTATGAACATCTTAGTAAGTAGGAGTTTTTCTTATTATTTATTTTTATTTTTTTTTATTCTAGGTTTTAACTTCAACATTGATCCAAATTATATTCATTATATTACATCTACAGTTCATCAAATTATTTCTTTATACAAAATCAGTCTTCACAACATCAACGATCAATTTATCTTCACTTATCAAATTATTTCAGTTGGTTTATTTTATCATCGTGTCTTCTATTACACTGATTTATTTGGAGCAATGACTTAAATGGTTTTACATATCACATTTAAGGACATCAACGATAACAATGAAGCATTCAAGTTTACGCTTATATCAGGTCAGTTTTATTTTGTTTTTGTACCATTCATATTTTTTTATTCTATCCCTTCTTCTAGATACATCGAAAGAATTAAAGATCATTATATTAACATACATTAATGAACATTTGTTATATTAGTTTCTTTGTTTTTCTAGATATATATATATATATACAAAAGGACATATATATATTTATAGATTTTTATTCACAAAATATATATCAAACTATTATATGTATGTACAATATCTTTCATGTTTAAAGAATATTGCAATGTAATTGATTAAAATATTTCTTTTTCTGAAACATATATTTTAGAATGAACGTAAATAGCACTCAAATTCCTCATAGTCCGACTGAATCATCATCTGAAAATAATGAAAATCAATCCAATATTAGTCAATTATTATTTACTGAAACTATAATTACAAGTCAAACACCATTAATATCATTCAACATGACAAATATGATTCCAAGTCAAAGACCAATAATTACAAATACATCTGAACATAACAATCGATCTTCTCGACGTCAAGCTCAACGAAGACGACGTCAACGACAACGTCAACGAAGGCGAGAAGAACGCGTGGCACTACAACAACTACAAATACAGCGACAAAGACAACAACGACAACAACAGAGACAACAACAGCACCAACAACTACTGAGACAGCAACAACAACAAAGGCAACAAAGACAACAGCAACAAAGACATCAACAGCAACAAGTACGACCGCAACCAAGACATTATCCAGGTCAAAGTTCACAAAGACCACAGGAACGATATACACGATGGGCCGACCATCTAAGTCAATGGGGCCTTGAACTAACTCAACGATTGCAACAACGTCACCTTCCGTGGGAACTCCAACAAAACCGACGACAAAACTACTATGACAATCAATTATATCCTTCTGATCATATGGAAGAACCAATGGATGAAATGTACAATGATCCACTTATAGAAGCATATCTGTGGGAAACGATGGATCCAAAGGAACGATGGGAACAAGAACAAATCAATGAATTAGAAAAAAATCATGTCGTCGATCCATTTGAACAATTAACAATTATGCAAGATGAACTCGAACAACTTCAGCAGATTGATCATATTCAAAGATTAAAAGAACAAGAAGAACAGATTCAACTACAACAGTGGGAACAAGATAATTCCATCGAATTAAAAGATCCTTCTATTCTAGCTTATATATCACAACTTCAAGATGATATTCAACAATTAACACAAACTGATGTTATTCAAACGATGGATCATGAAATGATTGAAAACCAAGAACAACAACAAAACGATCAAGATGTACCTCACATGGAAGAATAACAAGCACCACACTTTCCAACTGAAATATTAAATAAACTCTAAATAATACACGTTATTAATTCCACAAATATATTTTCTTTCATAATATACTTTCATCATATGGATTTTCAATATTCTTCTCATTCTATATTACTATATTATAATTGAACCAAACTTTACTTTTCTCTATTCTAGATTACAAGCATTCACACATAATAACTGAACAAATTCCTTCAAATCATTACATTTGTTTCATACTCCAAGTGACGACAATACACAATCACACGGTATATAACTACTACTTCAAAATAACCAAACCCAAACACAACACACACATCATACAATCCATCATAATCACCCTACTAAACAAACTTCCACTCTACAAATGAAATCACCTGATGAGACTGTGAAAATCAGTCGAAACTAGTCGTGATA